CTAAGCAATGCCAGATTAAGAAAATAACAAATAATGAGTAATCTGGTATGTTCAAGAATGGCTGTGGGAAAGACCTAAATTATACCAACGACTCAGGTATGCATATTCTTTGTGGGTGCAGTAATTCATTTACACCATCTAAAAGGGCAGCCTCAAATCACAAGTACTCTAGTTTAGTATAGAGAAAAACCAAACAAAGGATTTATTCCAAATCAGGAATTATGCTACACATAGCCCTTAAATACTTACTTAACTAGTAAGATTTTTTATTGAAAATCTGCTCTTCTCATTAATAAGAAATTACATAGGAAACAACATCATTCAAGCTACATTTACCCAGACCAATTTGTTTTGGTAAAGCCTCTCTTTCTCATACTTAAGTATTTAAAGAGTAATGCAATTAAGAAATAAACAGTATCTGTTCAGAAAAGGAAATACATACTGGTCTAAAACAAGTATTAAAAGAAGGAATTAGACTACTGTTGCTCACTAATAACAAGTGTTCCCATTCCTTCTGAGACCATATTTCATGTCATTTCACTTTATTTTCGTCTGTTTTGATTATCTGCCATCACTCTCTTACCCCCACAACCCTCCAACTTCTGCCATTTTAGGAAAGAAAAGTCAAGATCCTTTCATACTCCCCTATCAACCATTCCTCAGGAGAAAGATTCTTTTTGGTTTCTTTACCATCTGACTGGTGGGCTGCTCTTTGTTACTGGAGGACACCAGGGAGCATGACTGCTTCCCATCTCTTTGCAAGACTGAACTCCATTCCAAATTCGCAAGTACCAGATCCATAAATCCAGTATTATATTTTACTATTTCCAAATTAGTGCTATCAGAATTCTCAAAGAATAGATTGGTATTACATTTATTCTCAAGAAGCAGAAAACATATATACCCCACTACTAGTACTATACTGTAAAAAATGACTTCTCATAAAGGCAATTTTCTTCAAGATACCCTCCTTCCCCTACAAGGAAAAAACAAGCATTACTAAAATAGTTACTTGGAGTGTGTCTTATCCACCCACACAAGCCCTTGGGTTTTCTAAAAAATTAACCAATGTTCAGCCTGTAAGATTTAGTTCACACAACATTTTAAACAATACACATGTCATTGTGAATAAAAAAGGCTATACTCCTATTGATACAACTCTTGGTTTGGGGAATTTCAGGCACTTTTGGATCATCAGCCTTTCTGGAAATCTATGATAATTTCCTCTACTTAGAGCCATGTTTATGACTAACATATTTTAGTAATCAGCATGGCACTCTGATGAATGCATCAATATCAGTTTTTACATTAAATAATAATGTCACTCATACACAGGATGTTACACTTTGATTACAAAATCCTTGGTAAGAGAACTTAGGCATAAGATGGTATCTAGTGTGTGATCTGAACATCAACTGTAAAGCTGGAAGGGCAAAATTACCTCCACAATTGAATATAAAGAAATGTAAGCTCCCAAGAAATACACAGATTCAAGTAAGGAGCTTTCATTTTTAAAGACTAAATGCTGTAAGACTTTCAGAGCTCTAAGAAGTATCTACAAATTTTACACCAAAGGTAAGAGTGACAGTTCTTCCTCTTGATATATATTTACATAATCCTCACTTAAACATTAAGTAGAAAAGAAAAAACTCCATAAAAAAGTGTGTGTATATATATATGAGATATACATACATATATATCTCATATACATAATTGTACAAACAAAATCTGTATTTTTAGCACATACCAGGATACACCACTTAACAGTCACAATTTATAATACTTTATCAGTAGTCATTAGCAAACTACACAAATAAAACCATTAACGAGATATAGAGATATCTGCCACTAAGAGATCCTTACGATTAGGTTTTCAACAGTCTTTCAGTTGCAGTTGACAGTTCACAATTGCAGCCATTCATAAGAGTTCCCAGAATGTGGTCTACAGAGTTCACATCAGTCAGCTATCTATGGAAAACGATCTGTACTGTGTTCCTTTTCCAAAAGGGCCGGTAATATTTGGCACCTCCCCTCATTTACCAAAAAGAGACTGTTAAGTGTGTAGGTAGTTTAAATCAATTTTGTAATGTTCACTGTAAAAGTGGCTACACATTTTTTTATCAACTATATTTTCAATCATTATTACATCCTCCCGTTTACACAAAATCAATTTGAAAATTCTCAACAACTAACCATAAGCCTTTTTAATAAGAAAGGCCAGAATGATATATAAACTTTATAATATAGGGTCAACAGACAATGTTAACTGAGAACTTGAAGACATTTTCTTTGTATACACAACCATCAGCCCTCTTAAAGGTATAATATTATTAAGATGTATTAACATAGAGTCTGATTGTTTAAATGGTCACAAAATGAGCCAATATAGAGCCTTGTATCAGGTAAAAGAACCAAAATCACAAGATAGAGTTTTCAACATATATCAACCTAAACCACCTCAATATTTTTACTAATCTTATATTTTCCTTCCTTTTCTCAAACAGACTGTATTTTCTAACATCTTAATATTTATTTTAAAAAGCAAACATCTTATTTACAAATATTTTCTTAGGATCTGAAATTTGTCAACCTATTCACAAAGTTTAAGTCATAATTACTCAAGACCTCTCACTCCAATATGTTTCATTTTACATTTGCATGACTGCAAATAAGACTGTATGTAGATTTCAGTTTAAGAGGACAACCCCAAATCACCACTTAAAATTACAATTGTTAGTACTGTCTCCTCAAAAGCACTCATCTCAATAACTTTAAACATATGCCTGGAAAAACTGTTATTAATTTCAAGCATACGACTTTAAAATGCCTTCTCTTTTACAAAGGCTTTCCTTTAAAAAAACAAAACTATTTCTACTTAATGGATTTATTCCTTCACCAGGTGTGTTGGTCCAGTGATGAAATAGTCAAATGTGTAAGATTACATCTTGGAAAATAGCATGTTAAATTAAAAACCAATGAAAGACTATTAACAAAAATTAGAAATGCACATTTGATAAGCAATACAGATTTTAAAAGACTCGGTGGGGGATGGAAGTGCCACTTAAAATAGGACTGCACATACATCAAAACCCGTGCACTGGATTAACTGCTGCAATTGATAAGAACAGTGATACAGTAGTATCTGTAGTTCAAACATTCACATGTTTGGAAATGAGATTCTTGAGATTATCAACTCTTTTAATAAGGTAAGAGGAAAAATAAATGCATCTTTGAGGTCATACTCTAAAGAATACATCCCAGAGTTTCCATTTATCAACAGATCTCTCTGCTTCATGCCATATCATCATATTCAACTTCTGGGGAATGTAATTACATATGCCGTAAACAGAGAGTATGAAGAGGACACAAAATACATTCTTCGTTCATAGGCGTGCATGTGTTGGGAGTGGGGGGTCGGGAAACCAGTCATCATTTCTTGAAAAGCTATGGGGGCAGTCTACGACAGGAACAGAGAGGTAAGCAAATGGTTATTTACCAACCCATCAGAAAAAAACAGGCTTCTGGCAGCTAGGAAAGGGAAGATGCCTGTTCAATATTACCAAAGGTGAACAAATAAACTCAATCTGCATTTCAGGTGTGCCCCTACGTGTGAAAAGTGAAACATGGGAACAAATGTAAAGAGGGATTTTTCTGAGGCCTGTGGAATCAGTTTCTTTACTTGGTAGTCCCATCCATATAACATTTCTCAATGACTAGCTAGCTGAGCTCAATTATGGACACGTGGTATTCTCTAAGAGTTCTCAAACGGAAGAAAGACTCCCCACAAGCAAGTCACCTACAAAAAAAGATGAACTTTGAATTATAAAAAGCAGAGGAGATGAATTTCAGTGAGCATTTTTCAAGCCAATAGAAATGTATAACAAAAATACAAAGCTAATTAGAAATGAAAAGTTAAGAAAAGAATGTGAAGGAACTCAGAAGAAACAGGAAGAAAAAGCTTTAACAGGTCTCATTGTATCCTACATACCAATTATTCTAGAAATCCATAAAAATAGTTTTAATCTTTTAATACATCTAAAATTAACCTCTCTCAAAACAAAAACCCCAGCAAGTAAATGTCTAACTATAAAGTACCTGAACCTTTCTACCTACTTTTTAAATGTCATTTTAAAGCTTTGTAACAAATCAGTTTTTAAAAATTCGCATTACATGTCAAATTTTCATGTGACATTTCCTCAAAATCACTTAAAATCCTCATTAAACCATAACCAAACATCATCAACTGTTGTAGATTGGTATGGCAATACACCAATTTGCACTTAAACCATTAAAAAAGCATCCCTTAAATAGAGGGAGCCAATTGCTGACATTTGCACTCTTACTACAAAATTATTCTAATTTCAAGAACTACAGCTTTTACTACTGTCGAGTATCTCATAGCTCCTTATCCTAGAGTAAAAAAACTGATGAAAAATAAGAACATCTTGCCAACACGCTTTTTGCTTTTAAAAAAAAGTATCTTAGAGAAATCACTGGGAAACCTCCTGACCGTCTATCCTCTTTTATTAAAAGGCTAAACGAAGATATGATCTTCAAAGCCAGATCTGACATTTTACCATTCTCTCTCCAGCCTTTCCAGATATTCACTAACAAAACTCTCTGCCATAAGTGTTGAAGTAGGATTCATACCTAAGAAAGGAACAATCCTATGGAGCATAACCTACTAACTACCACCTCTAAATTGAAAGTAGTAAGCTAAAATCCATCTTTTTGAATAAACAATGTTGCATCCCTATCCACTTTAGTGCTTTTAAACAACAGTGACAACACCAATTCTCTCATTACACATCTTTACAACAGCAATCTAAAGCTAATATCTTTTCAAGAACTGATACACCAATTTTACTAAACACAAACTACTTTTTTATTTAAAAATGCTAAAGGCCTCAAACTGAAAAAAGAACTCTTCCAAAGTTGCATCCTAAACCACAATGTTTGGCCAAGCATTCCTATCAAATATTTGAAATAGATTTCCATACCTGTCTTCATCACCATCAACAGGAATAGCTATGCTGAATACAGAGGTGGTGAGACTGTTCATAGGTGTTAACTGAACGGGGTTTGCCAGGGCATCTGCAACAGGAGGCTTCACAACAGGCTTAGTTTCAGCAACGAGAGAAAGTGGCGGTTGAGGTAGGGGTTCTGATTTTCTTCTAGTATCGTCAGCTTGCCCGACTAGAGGCTGGGTCTGAGTCTGAAACTGGGTTAGGTCAGACTGTGGTAGACTTGTTGGTGCACTGACTGTGCCCTGCGCCAAAGGCAGCCCCACATGCTGGATGATGCTGCCGCTCCTGCTAACGGGCGTATGGCTGCTCAGCTGCTGCGACTGGCCCAGAGGCGCGGGGACATTTGGCATAGTAACAGAAGTGGTAGACACACTAGGCACGCTTGGAGCGGGCACGGCTGCAGGCACGTTTGGAACTCCGGGCACCACGGCGTGAGGGCCACTGGGCCCGGCTGACGGCGCCCCGCCGCCACCCATCTGCGGCGGAGGCACGGACAGGGGCGGCCCCGCACCTCCCACAGCCGGGGGCCCTCCAGCCGGCTGACCCGGCGCGGCCAGG